GTAGTAGACAGAAAGAAATAAGATCAGAGCAGAACTAAATGAAACAGACACCCCCAAAATGATAGAAAAGATCAACAAAACAAAAAGTTGGTGTATTAGTTCGTTTGTGTTGCTCATTATAGAATATATCAAACTGGGCGATTTATACAGAAAATGAAATTTATTGCTTACAGTTTCTGAGGCTGGGAAGTCCAAAGTCCATCTGGTGGTGGCGATAGTGACCTAGGGGTCTCAAATTGCGAGATGGTGGAAGCAGAGAGAGCAGAGAGAGAGAGAAAGACAGACTCTCCTCTTCTTTTAAAGCCCTCAGAACCACACCCCTGACCACCATTTCTAATCCATTCTCTACTGCATGGTCCTACAGTCCAATCACCTCTTTAAGCCTCCACCTTTCAATTTCCATAATAGGATTTCCCACCCTGTTAACAGTCACAGTGTGGTCTAAGTTTCTAATACATAAAACATGGGAGATACAATTCAAGCTTGAATAGGTTTTGGGGGGACATAATTCAATCCACTCCAGTTGGTTTTTCAAGAAGATAAATAAAATAGACAAACTAGGTTTGTCTATTAGCTAGGTTAACAAAAAAAAGAAAAGACCAAAATAACAAAAATCAGAAATGAAAGGGAGACATTACAACCGATACCACAGAAATATGATGAATCATTAGAAACTATCATAAACAACTGTATGACAACAAATATGAAAACCTGGAAGAAAAGGATAAGTTTCTGGACACATACAAACTACCAACACTGAACCAAGAAGAGACAGAAAGCCAGAACAGACCAATAAGAAGCAATAAGATTGAAGCAGTAATCAGCAATCTTCCAACAAAGAAAAGCCTGCATCCAGATGGCTTTACAGTTGAATTCTACCAAACCTTTAAAGAGGAATTAATACAAATTCTCCTCAAACTATTCCAAAAATTGAAACAGATGCCATTCTCTCAAACCCATTCTATGAGGCCAACATAACTCTGATACCAAAACCAGATAAAGACACAACAAAAAAAAGAAAATTACAGGCCAATATCCTCGATGAACATAGATGCAAAAATCCTCAACAAAATATTAACAATCAGAATACAGCAACACATCAAAAAAATTATACACCATGATCAAGTGAGATTCGATATTAACAATCAGAATACAGCAACACATCAAAAAAATTATACACCATGATCAAGTGAGATTTGTCCCAGGGATACAAGGATGGTTCAACATATGAAAGTCAATAAATGTGATATATCACATCAACAAAATCAATGACAAAAACTATATGATTATCTCAATAGATGCAGAAAAAGCATTTGATAAAATTCAACATCCCTTCATGGTAAAGACTCTGAACAAATTAGGCATAGAAGGAAAGTATCTCAACACAGTAAAAGCCATGTATGACAAGCCCACCGCCAGTATCATTCTGAATGGGGAAAAACTGAAGGCTTCTCCCCTAAAAACAGGAACAAGACAAGGATGTTCACTCTCACCACTTCTATTTAACATAGTACTGGAGGTACTAGCCAGAGCAATCAGGCAAGAGAAAGAAATAAAGGGCATCCAGATCAGAAAACATGAATTCAAACTGTCCCTATTTGCAGATAACATGATCCAAGATATAGAAAAACCTAAAGACTCTATCAAAATACTCCTAGAGGTGGTTAATAATTTCAGTAACATTGCAGGACACAAAATAAATGCCCCCAAATCAGTTTCATTTCTATTCTCCAATAATGAGCTAACAGAAAGAAAAATCAAGGAAGTAAGCCCATTTACAACAGTCACAAAAAAATAAAATACCTAGGAATCAATTTAACCAAGGAGGTGAAAGATCTCTACAATGAGAACTACAAACCACTACTGATAGAAATTAAAGAAGACACAAAAAGATGGAAAGACTTTCCACACTCTTGGACTGCACAACTTAACATTGTGAAAATGTCTATACTACCCAAAGCAATCTACAGATTCAATGCAATCACCAATAAAATACCAATGACATTCTTCACAGAAATGGAAGAAACAATCTCAACATTCATATGGAACAACAAAAGACCCCAAATACCCAAAGCAATCCTGAGCAAAAAAAAATAAAGCCGGAGGCATAACACTACCTGACTTCAAATTATACTACAAAGTTATAGTAACCAGAGCAGCATGGTACTGGCATAAAAATAGACACTTGGATCAGTGGAGTGGAATAGAGAACCCCAAAATCAACTCACATACTTACAGCCAGCTGATCTCTGCCAAAGGCAACAAGAACATTCACTGGGGAAAAGACTGTCTCTTCAACAAACAGTACTAGGAAAATTGGACATACATATGCAAAAGAATGAAACTAGATCCATACCTCTGGCCATATACCCAAACCAACTCAAAATGGATTAAAGATGTAGGTATAAGACCTGAAACCATACAACTACTAAAAGAAAACATAGGGGAAACATTCCAGGAAGTAGGACTGGGCAAAGAATTGATGAATAACACTCCAAAAGCACAAGCAATAAAAGAAAAAATAAATAAATGGGATTATATCAAAGTAAAAAGCTTCTGCATAGCAAAGGAAACAATCAACAGAGTGGAAAGACAACCTGCAGAATGGGAGAAAACACTTGTAAACTGCACATCAGACAAGGAATTAATATATCCAGAATATACAAGGAACTCAAACAACTTCTCTGTAAAAAACAAACACTACAATTAAAAAATGGGCAAAGGAGTTGAATAGACATTTTTCAAAGGAAGCCATCCAAATGGCCAACAGGTACATGAAGAAATGCTCAGCATCACTAATCATTGGGGAAATGCAAGCCAAAACCATGTAGAGATACCATCTTAACCCAGTTAAAACAAATGCTGATGAGGATGTGGAGAAAGGAGAACTCTTCTACACTATGTTGGGACTATAAATTAGTACAACCACTATGGAAAACAGTATGGAGTTTTCTCAAACAACTACAGACAGAACTACCATATAATCCAACAATCCCACTTCTGGGTATATACCAAAAGGAAGGAAATCATCATGGTGAAGGGATATCTGCACTTCCACATTCATCGCCGCTCTGTTTACAACAGTTAAGAGCTGGAAACAACTTAAATGTCCATCAACAAATGACTGGATAAGGAAAATGTGGTATACATACACACAATGGAATACTACTCAGCTATTAAAAAGAATGAAATTCTGCCATTCACAGCAATATGGATGAACTTGGAAAAAATCATGTTAAGTGAAACAACCCAGGCACAGAAAGAGAAATATACATGTCCTCACTCATAAGTGGGAGCTGAATAAGAAAGAAAGAGAATGAAAAAACAGAAACCACAATAATATATTGAACTTTTAGAAAGCGAGAACAGGGCCGGCCCGGTGGCGCACTGCTACACTGCGCCGCTTGGGAGTGTGGTGGCACTCCCGCTGAGGGTTCGGATCCCACATACAGACGAGCTGCTCACTGGCTGAGCGAGGCGCAGATGCAACACCGAGGGTTGCGATCCCGTTGCCGTTGCCGGTCCCGGTCCGGTCCGGTCCGGGCGCGACACTGAGGGTTGCGATCCATTGCCAGTCACGAAAAAAGACAAAAAGGGAAAAAAAAAAAAAAAAAAAAAGAAAGCGAGAACAGAACTGTGGTCTAGAAGTGGAAAGGGTTGGGGGTTAATGAGAAATTAATGAGAAATTGGTTAATGGACACAAAGAATGATTACGTATTATAATGATGAATAAGCCAACTATCCTGATTTGACCATCACATATTTTACACAACTACTGATAGTAAACTTTGTACTCCACAAATATGTATAATTGATTATGCTTCAATTTATGGTTAATGGACACAAAGAATGATTACGTATTATAATGATGAATAAGCCAACTATCCTGATTGACCATCACATATTTTACACAACTACTGATAGTAAACTTTGTACTCCACAAATATGTATAATTGATTATGCTTCAATTTAAAAAAAAGTAGTATATAGCATATTACAGCAAAAAAATAAAATATACATAAATAAAAATAAGAGTGTCTTGCCTAAGGCGGTGTCCCCACTACCTTGGATGATGCGCTCCTCAGCAGGGTCTTACTGAGTGTTACAACAGCCTCCTATTGGTTCCCCATACATCCAGGCTCTCCCCAGTTGCAAACAGAGGTGTCTTCCTTAAACACAAATCTGATCATCTCAGACCCCACCTACTTCACAACATCTGATGGGCCACTTCTACAGCATAAAATCCAGGCAACTTCACTCATCATGCTAAACACATCACAGTAGGGTTCTAACCTTTCTTTCCACCACACTCACTTACACACTTATTCTCATTCCCCAAACATACCAGGCCCTTCTGTGGTTGAACATCTTTGTTTGTGCTGTGCCCTTTGCCCAGAAGGCTTTTCCATCACTCCAGACACACCTGCCATGCCCTTTGTGAAACGGTATTGGACAATGACTGTGCTCCACCAAATCCCTCAGATCTATTTATATTCTTTCTGTGTGCTTCCCAGCTTTCTAACAGCTAGCTGCTGAGGGTCTTTTTAAGAAGTTTGCCCTTGGGGTCCTGGAGCCAGCTTTGCTCACAGGCTGGGAGAGCAGCTAGTGCCTGGAAATCTGTGTCCTCTGGGATGACCATTAACAAATGGGTGATAGAGTGTGAAAACCCCAGATCCCCAGCCTCAGGCAGCTCTGAGGCCTACCTGACTCTGCAGCATGCCCCTTACATGATCAGACTGAAGCCTTCCTTCCCTCTGTGGAAATTTTACTGAGATTGCAAGTCTACTGCCTCCTACTCCAAAGCTACTAGCTTTTAGGGGCTCAGAACATGTCCTTGGTTTCTCTACAGTTTACTGCACTGCACAACAAATTAGTCTCAGGCCTTGTAATATTTATAAAAGAATATAAGGCAAACTGAAGTGGTTAATCCCCAATGATTAACTTTCAAATTTTCTTTGCTTCATTTGGGTATACCAGTCATTAATTTACTTTTTACATACCAGAACTTGAACCGCAGCTGGTAAACTATCTAAAGGAAAATCTGGAAGTCCAAGAGTAGAAGATTCTTGGGAACAGAGAGTTGTGGCAAAAGACAAGAGCTGAGAAACTCTAGGGGGAAAAATGATATTAAATTTTATTCTAATAGTTTTAAAATATAAAATGTATAAATCCATTAAATATAAAATAGCTGGGCAAAGGTAATCCCCACTATTAATTCTTAAAGAACATTGGCTTCATACATAATATGAAAACATAATATAAAACTCAGAAACTGACTAGATGTACAGATATATTTCCTAAATTCATCACAATATGAAGTTTTTCACAACCAAGCCCAAATCTACTCTACCAGCCTCATAGCCCACCTTACTCAATCCCAAACCTAAACTCTAGACACCAGGAGCTTTTTATAGTCCTAAAAACAAGGCATAAACTCTCATATCTCATGCTTTCAAAAAAAATGTCATAGAATTCCTCAATTCCATTCTCTATCTGCAAAAGCCTATTCATTATTTAGGACTCATTTCAAATGCCAACGTCTTTGTGAAGCCCTTATAAAGTCTCAAACACAAATAGCCCTAATATTCTGAAATTATGGCACTTCCTACACTATGTTAAAGTAAACTATCCACATACATTTCAACTTTATTAGATCTTAAGTTTCTTGTCATCAAAGATCATATATTAATTTTATCCCAACACTTATCAAACCTCTTAATACTGAAAAATTCTTCAGAGAACAGTTGTTGGATGAATGAATGAATCGATCAATCAATAAACAGGTAAAACAAATTCAATGTTAAGTTTCCAGATATTTATAAAAATATACTTACTTCTCAGCAGAAACATTGGCTCCAACTGAATACAATAGTTTAAGTTGGTCCTAAAACAACACAGAAACATATAAAGTCAATTAACAAGTAATGTAACAGATTAAACGCAAATGTTTTATAGATACATTCCAACCTTTTAATTAAGCAGACACTGAGCTGACAAGTTAGCTCACTTGGTTAGAGCATGATGCTGATAACACCAAGGTCAACGGTTTGGACTGCCATGCTGGCCAGCCACAAAAAGAAAAAAAGAAAAAAGAAAGAAAGAATGGGCCGGCCCTGTGGTGCGCTCGGGAGAGTGCAGCGACACTCCTGCCGCGGGTTCGGATCCTATATAGGAATGGCCGGTGCGCTCACTGGCTGAGCGCGGTGCGGGCGACACCACACCAAGGGTTGCGATCCCCTTACCGGTCACGAAAAAGAAAAAAAAAAAAAAAGAAAGAAAGAAGCAGACACTAAATAACTAATAGCAAAAAACCATTTCTTTACACATTTCATTTTATAAAAGAGAAGTCATACTTTTTTAGAAAACTTTCAGGCAAATAATGCCACAATAACTTTTCTTCCTACTTTCTGGGAGATTTTCTTCACCCTATTATCCTTTTTCCTTTCCATTAACTACTGATGAAGACATCTAAAAACATAGTAACATTTTTATTCAATTGAATTTCTTGTTATAAATAGAAAAACTGTTTAAAAAATAAATTGCCCTTTTTCATACTTACCTTGAAGGGGAGATAATAAATATCTCTGGCTTGAAATCGAGAACGGAGAGGGGGGTCTAATGAATTCCCAGAGTACCTTGGCACTGGCAAGCCCAATGCAATCACTCGGAAATTTTCACTAACTCGGACAATCTTCCAAGCATCCAACTCTGTTTTGGTATGCTCCTAGAAAAGTAAGAGGTAAAAAAAAAAAAACTACAGCATAAATGATATAGATTACAATTTCAAGAGCTACCAGGCCAAGGATCTTAGACACTGTTGAGAAAACTGTATCTGAGAACACTCTCAAAACCAAACTGTCAAGGAAGGGAGCAAAGTGACATCGGAGTCAGGATGCCAGGAAGGCTCATAACATAAAGACATGTTGGGAAGGAAAAGCAGCTAATATACCAACAAACAAAGAAGACCTGGGTCAGACCTCAAGCCCTAGTCAGTAACACAGAGCAACAGAATTAGGAAGGTAAGGAAAATACACAACTAGATATTTTTAAAAATGTAGTCCTAGGGCCGGCCCGGTGGTGCACTGGAGAGTGTGCTGCTTAGGAGCGCGGCAGTGCTCCCGCCGAGGGTTCGGATCCCATGTGGAGACCGGTTCCCGCTCACTGGCTGAGCGCGGTGTGGGCGCAACACAGAGGGTTGCGATCCCATTGCCGGTCCCCGGTACGGGCGCGACACCAAGGGTTGTGATCCCGTTACCGGTCAGTAAAAAAGACAAAAAAAGGAAAAAAAAAAAAGAAAATGTAGTCCTAGAGGGGCAGACCATTTCAAAGCAGATTGCCCACAGACCTTAAATAGATGACTATGTTTATAGGCATTTTTCTAGCAAGGCATATTACTAGTAATAACTAACATATTTCGATAATTTACTACATGGTAAGCATGTTCCGTGAATTTTTCTCATTTAACTTTCACTAGAATCCAAATAGACACTCAATCTCCTTTTTATATGAATGAACAAACTGAAGGTCAAAGGAGTTATACAGCTTGCCAATGGTCCTGCAACTAGCTATGGTGGAGCTGAGAGAATGGAAACAGTATAGGATGTAGAATCACAAATCCTGGCTCAACTGCTTGATGCACACTCTACCTAAATGACCAAAGGCATGTTATTATACCCTTGGAGCTCAGCCCTCTCATTCAAAAATGGAAATAATATCACTTAGATTAATATGACTGCTATAAAAACTAAATAGGAGAATGTACATGAAAGCAACTGGTCCACAGCAAGCACCTGTTAAATGTCATTTCCTTCCTCCTGTGCCTCACTCTATCAATGGTTCTTCATGGCATTCAGCAGTAGGTTCCATTGCTTACAAAATTTATATGAATGCACATATGTACATTAGAAGACAAAGGTCCACAGCTTTTAACAGATCTTCAGAGGAAACAGCCCATATGATATTGTAGAAACTCTTAAGAGCTTTCCTGGAAGGATTCGTGTCTGATTCTCTCAGTCTCAGCAACAACTGCACACCCGTCCCCTGGACCTGCCTTCCGTGATCCTGTGCTCCAAAACCCATCTCACAACTGCAGCTCTCCAAACACATCATGGTGCCTCACCAACACTGTTCCATTTGTTTGGAACGCCCTTTTCACTTTGCTCAGCATAAACACAAGTATCACTCAAAGCTCAGCACAAACAACACCTTCATAAAAATAGGCTTTTGTCTGATCCCTTCCCCCAACTTCTTAGAACCACTTTTGTAGCCCTTCACTGTATTCTACATAAGCTTCTATCACTAGTCATTTGAACATTTACTGCTATACATGACTGCTTCATGCTAGATCTAAGCTCTTGAGACAAATATTACCTAGTATAATAGCATAAATGTTTCTTGATAGATTACATGAATTTTTAAAATAAGCATTTCAACTATAATCAAAATCACAAATCTACCTTTAATTAAAGATTGACAGTATGATGACACTATGTCACACTCACTAGAGAACAAGAATCTAGATCTAGTCCTGTCTGAGAAACCAAGAGAACAATCTTTACAAAGCAAAATATTCCTATTTTCCATTTACCTAAAAATGATAATCAGAATATAAATAAGGTTTATACAAATTGATTGTATCTATTTCCAAAATAACAAAATTCTACTACAATTACGTCTATAAAACCAGTAACATTTTAATAAGTAGAATTTAAATGATGGTGTTGGCATCTTTTTACCATAGAAATTATCTTAAGATGGTAGTGTTTTGTGAAGGGATCTTGCCTATATTCTATGAGGTTCTCATGAGACAGATTCTATGAATATAGAAATAACATTTACTGATAAAAATTATGCATTTATATTGATATTTACTTTGGGAAAAAACACTGAAGTAGATCCTTCACACTTAATAATAATAAGCATTTCTTGTGTACTAAAACCCTTTTGATCCCCATATTGCAAATTCCTATCCAAAGTAACATGTTCAATAACTTTGCACAGAGTTCTACTATAAGAATAAAGGGGCAAATAGTTATTTTGTAATTAGAAAGTGTCTAAAGAGAAAACATTCTGAATAATATCCACCTACTTGTAAAAACAAATAAAAATAGCTTTCATTTCAGAAATTAAACAGTAACAATATAAATGAAGAAATTTAACTTTTTTTATTGATTAAATCTTTGATTATCCCCTTCTAGTTATATCACCATGAGATGATCTGTAGATAGATCTGGAAAAAATGACTACAGTGTACAATAAAAACACCATCTAGAAACTTCCATATACTGTAAAGAAACAGACTGCTGATAGGGTTGCGGAGAAACTGACTCATACAGTGGGAATCAGAAAGAGATACTCCTGGACCTGCCAGCCATGGAGCATTAGTTCAGTCAGACCCTCTGGTGTCAACATCTATTATTTAGTGCCTAGTATGTTCTGGACTTGTATTAGCACCCTGGGAGCAAGATCAAGAAGTATAAGACATGGATCCTGCTCTTGAACAATTTGAAACCAACTTGGAGTAGTAAGATTAGCCCATATGAATCTCTACAAAACAAGTGTGAGAGAGACTCTAAGTCCTAGAATGTAGAGCAAAGCAATCAGTCACAGAAGGCTGAGTTAGCCAGAGTGCTCCAGTGTGGTGCAGTTTGAGCTGAATGAAGGCTGAGTATCTTCTTATCATTTGTGACATTACATGACCCCTAATCCAAAGGCTTTGAAGAGCCCTACATTCCCTAGTTGTTGCCTCTTTATATGCACGTGTATAACAGCATTTAATCATTTTATTGCACTTATTCATTCACTCAACGAATAGTTACTAATCACCTACCATGCGCCAGGCATTGATACAGGAGCTTGAGATAATAACAGTAACAAAAATCCCTGCCCTTGTGAAATTTATATTCTAGTTGGGAGAGGCAGACAATGAACTAAAAGCACAACACATAAGTAAGTTACCTAGAATGTTAGAAGACAGCCTGGAAGAAAATAGAGCAGGGTAAGGGAGTACAAAGGCAGAGAGAAAATTGCAATTTTAAATAGACGGGTCAGGCAGGCTTCATTGATAATGCAACATTTGAGTAAACACTTGAAAGAGGTGCATGAGTAAGCCAAGCAGATATCTGGGAGAAAACCACTCTGGGAAGAAGGAAGTGCCTGTGCAAAGGCTAGAAAGTAGGAGAATGCCTACTTAGAATGTTTAAGGTATAGTAAAGAGAATACCAGTAGCTGGAGTGGAGTAAAAGCAGGGGAGGATAGAAGGAGATAAGGCAAGAGGTATAATGGTCCAAATCACATAGGGTGCTGTATTCTTTTTTTTTTTTTTCCTTTTTGTCTTTTTTCATGACCGGTAACGGGATCGCAACCCTCAGTGTCGCACCCATACCACGACTGGCAACGGGATCGCAACCCTTGGTGTCGCGCCCGCAGCGCGCTCAACCAGTGAGCGGACCGGTCTCTATATGGGATCCAAACCCTCGGCGGGAGCGCCGCTGCACTCCCAAACGCCGCACTCTACCAAGTGCGCCACCGGGCTGGCCCCAGTGTGCTGTATTCTACTGAAAGGACTTTGGATTTTAGTCTGAGCGGAACAGGAAGCCATTGGGGTTAGAGCACAGGAGTGACGCAGTCTGACTCATGTTTAATAGAGATCACTGACTGCTGTGTTGAGAACAACATGGTGGGGAAGAAAGGATGGAAGCAGGGAGTCCAGTTAGGAGGTTCCTATAACAACCCAGGCATGAGATGCTGGTGGCTTGGATCATAAGGGTAACATAAATATTTTATTCATTTCTGTCAATACCAACTGGACTTTGAGCTCCATGTGTCTAAGAACTGGACTTTATTCATCTTTGTATCCCTGATGCCCAGCACTGTCTAGAAATCATTAGGCTTTTAGTTAATAGAAGTTGAGAGAAGGAAAAGAAAAATGGTGACAGAAAAGGAGGGAAAAGAGGAGAAAAATGAGAAAGAGAGAATAGTTACTACACCAAACAAAAAATAAAGTAAAACTTAGGCAGTCTTCTGACATAGTCTGCAAACAGAATAATCATGTAAAACTGCACACTCATGATTTTACTTCAGCAATTTGCCAAAGATAAGGACCACCTGAACATTTTTGTCCTGATTCCCATAGAACCACGTCTTATACAACAAAATGGCATTACCCACAGCTTGACAACAAAGACAAAGCAGCCAGATTTTTCTTCTCTTACTTGGAGAAGTTTGTCATAACGCTCGGCAGACATCAGGAATCGTCCATCTTCAAGCTGCATCTCCCTGTTTTCCAGCAAGTTATTCAAAACTGGCAGAACATTCCTCTCTGCCTTTTCCAAGCCTTCCAAAATGAGAGTTCTGCCTTCTGTGGCTGCACGAACTGCACACTATTTCCAAGAAACACAAAAACAAAATGAGAATATTAAAAATAACAGAGCCTGGCCTAATTTTATTTTTAATGCAAATTAAATTTGGAGTTCTTGTTATAGCGACCAGGAATAAGAAAAGCTGGCTTCCAGATCTTGGTTTTGCTTTTTCTGCGTATATGATGTTAGGTAAGTGATTTTACCTCTTTGGGTCTGTTTATACATTTGTGAAATGAAGAGATTGGAAGAGATGATTTCTAAGGTTCCTTTCAGCTTTAACATTTTAGATTATATACCCAATGAAATAGAAAAATAACAGCTATCTATGAACGGATAACATAATTAAACAAGGGAACAGATTCTTTAATAGAAAAGAGAATGAAAATAACAATCAGCCCTATCCATTCCACAAGCTCCTTGGGGACTGTAACGACTTGTGAGTCATTACCAAGATGAATTCAGGTTTAGTATGATGCTAGATGCTGACATTACACACTTAGCAAAATAGAAAGAGTCAGGTTTTACATAGGCCTACAGAAGACTGATGTAACTACTACTCTAAGTCTTCCATAAAATGTTAAGAAAATTACTAACAGAGAAAAATAGGAAATAACATAGACCCCCCAAAAATATGATAGGAAAACTGTAACACAAAAAAAATTACTACAGATGTAAAAAAAAATTCTCCTTCAGCTGACAAGTCCTGTACAACATAGGAAAATAAACTACTCTCTGGTCAAAATCCTTGAAAATTTGCTAAAAAAGGAAAACCTCAGTCATGATCTCCAGTGCATTCAACAACAGACAGAGGATTAACAATGCTAAATTTATATTATCACTCCCTCATTAAAAGTCATCTTTGTCCTCCATCACACTGCATTCTCCGAGAAAAACTGTTTCTCCTTTCCTGCTTGTCCATTAAATGTAGATTATGCCCAGTATTATATCCTTAACCCATAGCTCTTCTTACTCTTCAAGATCATTCCTGAGTAATCTTATTCAATCACAGTTCCAACCTCACCTTTATGCTAATGACTCCCCAATCTCAAGCTCTCCCAAGCTTCAGAACCATATAGTCCCATCACATGGATGTCTCCAACCAGACCCCATAAGCACCTCGGGCTCCTATGTATAACACTAAATATATCTTATTTTCTCTAAAACCTGCTTCTCCTCTTTCACTTTTTATTTAAGGTGGGAGCACCATTCACCCATGCCAGAACCCTTGATTCTTATCTCACCTCCTCCATTCAGTTTATCACTATGTCCTGATGATGTAACCTTAATATTTCTTGAACTTATTCCCGTCTACTCCTCTAGTTCAGGCCTTTCTTACATCTCAGATCTCTTCCTTAGTAGTCCAAGCCCCTTAATTTGGCACATAAACCTATCACAATGTGGCATCTACCTACCTCTCCAACAACATAACCATTAGTTGCTACACATGGGGTATTTTTGTGACAATAAGCTGCTGTGATTTCCCCCTACACATGTATATACCATACTGCTTTATTAGAATATATCTGTGTTTTACTAGAAAATATCTGTGTCTTTACTAAACATCTGTGTCTGACCCCTTTACTTAAAATTCAATTTTCCCTTTAGTAATTAGCCCAAAAAAGGTCTGAATGCATGAAGGGAGAAAAACATATCTATTTCTTTAAGCCTTAATATACAAAGAAATTTCTGTAGTAGCAAAGCACTGGTTTTCCATGTGTGTAAGAAAAAACAGACATTGCTTAAACAAGCTTGCATACTGTCTCCTTATACTAAACTGTTGAATTTTACACTGTTTAATAAAAGTTAGTTTATTTCAAGTGTCTATGTACTACTGTAAGAGAATAAACTTCTATGAAAGCCAAATTAGATTCAAGATAATCATCCCATTTTAAGAATAAGATCAATTCATAAATAATCCTACAAAGCTATCATATTGCATATATTTAATTCTCTTCTGCCAAACTAGCCACCCTGTTTTAGTAGCTTTATTTTTTAAAAATGCATGGGTAGAAGTGACTTAGTAGCTCCTAAAGGGCAAAAAAAAAGAAGATTTAATCTCATTTCTGCAAGCTGTGTAAAGGATAAAGCCATAGAAACGGTTTCTGGGACATTAATTATCAAAACACAAACTATTACATAAAAAAAATTCATGTTTCAAGCAAATCTTACTTAAGCTTTTGTTCACAAGAATCCATTTACTCCAAGAAAGCATAGCTCAAAATAAAAAAGAAACTAAGACATTATAACCTGTGGCAACATTATTTTTAAAAAGCTAAAATTTTTATCAATCTTTGTTACAAAACAGACTAAATACTATATTTGACTTGTAAAAAACTTTATAGGGATGAAATACATGTTCTGTGAGATAAAACTAGAAATATACAGATCAAAATTTAGTGGTTCACCACCTGTGGGCTAGGGAAAATAAAGTCTTGATGACACAGTGCAGCTCTGCTTTTATTCACCTCAGGTATACTTTGGTGTACTACGTATTAAATCTTTTCAAAGGAATGCAGAATAAGCTATGTAGAGAGATCAGAAACAGGAGCCAAACACACAAGATATTCCTTTCATCTAATCTAATGGAGATGCTGTGACCATAAAGTGGAGAAAGTAGTGAAGGATGGGAAAATATAATACCCTGTAATAATCTCTTGACAATCTGATCAATGCTGCAGCTCTTCTCCCGAGTAAAATGCATACAGGTATATGTAAACACTGGGGACCTCAAGTTAAGAACATCTACCACTAAAGAATGATAGAAATAGAAAATTCACCCATTTGTCAAACACCACAGTCATAACTGCAGGTAAGAATAATCAATTACAATAAAATCAGTGGGTAAAGGTATAATGAGAAACAGGATATTTATATGACTCAAAATATCTCCTCACAAGACATTTATAAATGACAATGTGAAAAATAATACAACACTGGAGAAACCTGGCAGATACCACTTTAACCAAGTGATCAAAGTTAATATCACAAGTAATGAGATGTATCGATTTCACATACTAGAATTCTTATGCCCTGAGGTGGACATAACAACACTTTTATAGTATTCTTGCAAAAAATGCATGATCTCAAACAAATCATGAGGAAATATCAGACAAACCTAAACTGAGCAACATTCCGCAAAACAACTGGCCGTGAAGAGAAGAGAGAGGTCTGCTTTGGGGACTTGGGGACAGTGTGGGTGGTAGCAGCCATTTAAAAAAAAATGATTAAGAGATTTGATCATATTCAAATGATGAGAATCAAGTAGAGACACAAAGAGAAGAGAGTGTATAATTTTTTTTTTTTTCCTTTTTTTGTCTTTTCCGTGTCCGGCAACGGATCGCAACCCTCAGTGTCACCCCCACACCGGACCAGGACCGGCAACAGGATCACAACCCTCGGTGTCGCTCCCGCGCCTCGCTCAGGCAGTGAGCGGGAACCGGTCCGCATGTGGGATCCGAACCCTCGTCGGGCTCCCGCGCCTCGCTCAGCCAGTGAGCGGGAACCGGTCCGCATGTGGGATCCGAACCCTCGTCGGGAGCGCCACAGCGCTTCCCAAGCGGCGCACTACAGTAGTGCGCCACCGGGCCGGCCCGAGAGTGTATAATTATTGAAATAAAAGTAAGGAAAGAATTTGGTCTATCTACTGAGTGGGAAAGTGGTTGGGCTTATAGGTTTATAACTGATATGTATCAGGCTCTTCCATTTATGCTATTTAATTTAATCCTATGGTAGCCCTCTAAAGTACACAATATTTTACTCAATTTTATAACTGGAGAGAGTTATACAGTTTGAAAATGGCAGAGCTAAAATTTTAGCCTGTCCTTGAGTGAGAGAAATTGAGTAGATGAAGAACTAAAAAGAGGTCACTGAATAATGCAACCGGAAGGTTATTAGTAATCTCAGAGAATCTAATTTTACTAGGCATAGAAATCTGCTGTGTCTATTTAGAGAACCAAAAACAAACTCCTTACAAAACCTTTCGCCACACACGAGACTCAATTCAACTAAGAGTATACATGACTATAACGCAGAGCAGTTTACCTTAAAGTCTTCTAGAAAGAACTACAATCACATTTCCTCAGATTAACATTGTTTTTCAAATCATTGCCAACTCAGTGAAACCTTTGGAACTGAGCAGCAATGAAACTAGCCACTTGCCTAAATTTATCTGGAAAGACATGTAGTTAACAGAAAAGATTTATTGTCCTATGATCCCTATGTGACTTAATTAGGAACTCTTACACTTCCTTTTCGCTAAATCATTTTCAAGATATTACAAACTCTATTTAAGCTTCTCCTTTTGTTTTATTTGTAAACTTAGTGTCTTTTTATTTTTCCTACAAAAAAAAAAAATCACCGAAGTTTATTCTTTCTTTTTCCTAACAAATATTAATGTAAGAAAAACCAATCAGGCAAGGATCCAGTTTCTCAGAGTGGCATCTAAATGTCTCTACCTTTTTCTTAATAATCCATTAGACACGTTGCCAGGGAAGTTCTGTAAATGACAAAAACAAGGGGTGACTTTAATCTTAAAAGTAGAAAAAAAGATGAATAATAGAAAGGCAAATCAATAAAACAGAATAAAAAGTTATGCTATAGTATGAGTTTATCTAGAAATTTAATGTGTAAACAAGAAACTCTTGGAAATAATACTTTTTATTTCAAAGTAAGGGGTCAGAGAGATTTCTTTTCACATTAAACCCTACTGTACTGTTTGTTTGTTTTTTTTTTTGGCCATGATCACATGTATTATCTTTTCTATATAAGAAAACTAGTTACTGAAAACAATTAAAAATTTTAATATATGAGAAAATGGCATTTAAAATCAGTGAAAATTAGGAATTTGGAAAAGAAATCCAATTGAATTAAAAATTTAATGGTAAAAGTAAAATCATATTATTGCTAGATGATAATATAAGTGACTTTTAAAAATTTTTTCTGACAATTCAAAGGTAGATACCATTAAGGAAGAGGTTGATAGGTATGATTTCATTCAAATTTTTCCACACAGCAAAAACATC